CATAATTGTTACCAGGGTTAACCCCATAGCCAAGTGCTACGACGAAATCTGAAATCTTGAGATTTCGGGGGTCAATAGTTAACAGTGCCGAATCTCAACTAAGTCCAACTGAGAAAGCAACATACATCGCCAGAATCGTCATCATCATCCTTCCTCTTATCTCTTCCCATAGCTGTAGAGATAGAACTGCTACTTGTTCACTGCAAATCAAATTGAAAACAACGCAGATAATAGGCTGGCAACAGCCACCACGACTCGACAACTTTGAAAGTGAGCAAACGTCACCAAGCCGACTACAAATTACAACCCAACATCCAAAATGAGCTGCCAAGTGGTACTAGTGAATGGCGCTTTACAAGGCAAAGAGCAAAATATCATAGACATACAGCAAGGGAAAACCCAAGCAAACAAAACAATGTGAGAAGTTGCGCACTTTTCAAACTGAAACAGCGTGCTAAACTTTGCCGTCATATTACTTGTGTACTCTTGTATCACGTACAATATGACCGATTACTGTAATTTTATTACGCTGCAGCGCTTGCATTTTTGAGACCGCCCCATTATCGAGTGGTATTATCTTGCAGCTGCAAAGTTTCACGGTTTATTTAACAGCTTAGTACATTTTTTATTAATCAGTTTTTCATCGAACCACATGGTCAGCAACAGTTCTCATTGAATTTTACATTATTTTATAAACATTATTGTGTTGTTTAAGCGAGAGCTTAGTTGCATGTTTTTCGTTGCCATTTTGATTTTGATTTCTTGACGTCGTTCCTCTTTAAACGTGAAACCGTATGAGGTCTTATTCAGAAAGGGGCATGTGGTGCGACAGTTCATATTGCATGAAGTAATCCACTTTTTTCAGGGGAGGGAAGCTCCGGGGTGGGTGTAAAAGTTTAAGCGAAATGGTTCACGCACCCCGGGATTCCCTCCTCTTGCAAAAATTGGAATTTAGGGTCTCATCCAGTAAGGGGGGGGGGCATTGTGATGCAACGTCAAGTGGCTGCCCTCACCCCCACCCCCTAGACTGCCCCTGGCTCACGGGGTCCCGTACTTCGAGAAACCTGTGCGCCAGGGGGAGTGTAGGCAGTCTAGGGGGTGGGGGGTGAGGGCAGCCACTTGATGCCCCCTTACTGGATGAGCGCCGATTTCTATAACATCAAAAATAATGTACATGCCCCCCCCCTCAATGGATGAGACCCGGAATTTTGTACCCCAGCCATAAGTCACTGCCCCTCTCCCCTCCTGATAGACCCACGTTTCTCGATGAATTGCAAGATTGGGGGGGGGGGAAGTTATTAGGAAAGACAAAATTTCACATTAACATAAAATGCGACTTCATATCGCTATGTTCTAATTTTGTGAAGAAACGTACTATTTGGAGCTAAAGTTGCGAACTGTTGGTACTTAGCCGGGTAACTTTCGTCTCTTTCCTGCAAAGTTGCCTTGTTATCTATACCATATTGTTCAGTAATCCACCTAAGAAGAATTATCGTTTTGGCTACCAAGTGTGCCGTGGAGAGGGTCGAACCACGCGCTCTGCAGCCAAGAAGGTATGTGAAAAGGATCACTGCCTATTTATACTTCCTTGTGACTTTTTTACTCAAAGATATTTGTAATGCGGAATTTGATACAACTTCTAAACTGGCGCGGTTCAGGCTAAATCGGATCATACTGAATCAGAGGGATCAGCATCTTCCGATGAGGAGAAGTCTTTCGATAAAGGCCGCGTAATGAGTGTGCTGAGATACGATTTCGACGATCTATTGACAAGTATGTTTTTCTGTTTCGCTCAAGCGTCATTTTCAGTAACAGAGCTTCTTTCAATCCCGAATATAGTGCATTCTACTTTCAGGAAAACACTCGTACGCTTTACGTCAAATTATTTCTGTTAACAGTTACAAATACCAATCTTCTCGATCATGTGTACACTATATAATTGGGAAGCACAGCCATAATTAGGGATTCACTTGGTTACAGTTGTGATTTGTATTGACTAACGTTTTAGATGACCGTTTCGAGCACCCGGAACTCATCTCTAGATGATCGCGAAGGTAATTCCTAAGCCTTGAGGTAATGTATTTCAGTGTTTTATTAAATTTCTAATTTTTTCTTTAGAATTTAATCTCGATTACTATGAAAAATCCCGTCTTGCAACACCACTTCTCTTCGATTGCGATGCGCATGAACTCGGGATGAAGTGGGTTTCAATTTCAAGCCAACTTTATTTCACATATTTGGCTTTTTTACGATTTTATTTTCATTACATGGTCAATTGTTGAGTTTTACTTTACAATGTTGCTTTTTTTATTATATTTCACTACCATTTTTCCTCCAACATCCCTCTCACAATCAGGCTCTTTTAAGGGTTCCGAAAGCTGAAGAGTTCTCGGTTGATGACGTCTTGAGGCTTGTTGGTGGAAATCGTATGATTGAAGTGGTCGAAGTTAGCGGACAAACAAGTGTGAAGATGTGCCTGCAAGATTTCATCGATTATTACAAGTAGGTGTTCAAATCAGTATTATTTTCTAGAAGGCCTTGAATTTCTTTGATAAGAGATGATCAACAGGTTTGGTTTTTTTTTTTTGAATTCCGAGAGCTGGATTGCCATATTGGAGAAGGGGGGCATAGTTTCAGTGAGGTTATCTAGCATAAGGAGGTGGATGGACTTCTATGGTATTGAAATGTCTCTCGGTCAGCAAAAGCTAGTCCTTATGATCAGATGATTCACCCGAAAGCAGATTTGACTTCATTATTTCCTCGCTGAGTGGAACTCACTGGTGACAGCTCCTTGACACGGCGATCCCTCTAAAAGGTCAACCAGCGAGACCGTTTCGAGCTGGTGGGGCGGACATTAGATCAATGTTTTTAGCTAATTTGTGGGGGTGAAGGGTAACTAATACCTCGATGATAGCCGACGACGACATTTTGGCGATCATCCTTTCAATGATGTTTCGGGCAGCTCGTGTTTGCTAAGAAAAGTTGCGGGCTCCCGGCCTGTTTAAAAACCTAAAACGCGTTTCGAAAAGCTCAACTGTGAATCGAATATGTGGGATACTCAAGGACGACATATCTATGCAACTTTGTGAGGTCCTCACGAGTGTGGACAAAGCAGGGAAGAATTGTATGCAAGACAATGTGTCGAGAACCTACTTGATCTCAAGCTCAACATCATATTCGCCTGGTAGAATCTTCCGATGTGAAAGTGCTTTTATGGACGTACTTGTTTGTTGGAATGTGCCGCGAGGTTATATAATCAATTAAAAGGATAAAGCATTTGCCGTTGATCAATCCCTTTTTGGGATGCGGCACGCATTCTACTTCCATTTGTACATTCGTAGTGGCGTTTGAATGCGATGTGGCCTATACAATGACTTGCGGGGGCCAGCCGATGTTCAAGTCAGTGTTTTTATCCTCCCAGACAAGTCTGGTACCAATTAACCGACCCCGGAGGGATGGAAGGCTTGGTTGGCCCGGGCGACTCACGACCCAGGATTTGATCCCCGGACCGCTCGCGTGGTGAGCGCGCCACTTGTCACTACACCACTTCCGCCCATTATTAGGGAAGTCGGGGTCCGCAAGCAAGTCATTGTATATGGCCACATCGCATTCAAACGCCACTGCGAATGTACAAATGGAAGTAGAATGCGTGCCGCATCCCAAAAAGGGATTGATCAACGCAAATGCTTTATCCCTCTATTATTTAAAGTAGAGAGAAAAAATCTTTTTTTCTTGTTCCCTTCTGTGGATTGGATAAATTTATTATTTCATATTACACACCTATTTCATTGTTTGACAGAGTTTTTTTTGCTTTTTTTTTTCTTCGTCGACTCTACTCATGTGCTATAATCGAACGAAATTCGAAGATTTTTTTTCAGAACTCCAAAAGAAGAACGAGAGACATTGTACAATGTGCTGTCCTTGGAGTTTTCGAACACAGAGTGGAGGTCAGTTTTGAAAAGAATACTGCTTGGATTTTTCATATTCTTTTCGAAGCCCAATGGTTCAAGTCTTGTCATTCCAGGACATCATACAGTCACCAACTCTCGTTCGTCAAATAGACTGGGTTGAAAATCATTGGCCGGATGCTCTGCGTCAGCGGTACATCACGTTTAACAAGAAAGGGCATTACACTCCTCATCACACGTATGCCAAATCAAAATTGTATATTCATGGCTTATCTATTCAAATCTATTTATTCCATTGTAATTTTTATTTTTCCGAAGGGAGTCGAATACTTTGAGCTACTCCGATTAGGCAATTGTTTATGGAGGTTCTTCTTTGCTTTAACTTTTCCATTGCAGTTATTGTTTGATGAGTGTTGAACGCTGCTACACGGATTTCCACGTCGATTTTGGTGGCACTTCGGTATGGTACCATGTTCTCAAAGGCCAAAAGGTATCTTGTTTACCCTCTTTTGTGCAGTCTCGTAAGCTACCAGCTCATTTTGTTGATTTAGATATTCTGGCTGATTGAACCTAGTCTGACCAATATCCGCTTATATGAGGAATTTGTGAAAAACCCGGAGCAAACAGGATTTTTTGGTCATGTTGTTGATAAATGCGCTAGAGTGGTATTGAATCCTGGAACAACAACAATTATCCCTTCTGGTTAGTACTCAGAACTTTGTCATTTTCTAGATACTTGTCCGGTATCATTAAAAGTCATATTTTTATCCAGGCTGGATTCATGCTGTATACACACCTTCTGATAGTCTGGTTTTTGGTGGGAACTTCATTCATTCACTCGTTGAAATGCTAAATCCAAGTTTACCTCAGCGAGAATCGTATCAATGTTAGTCCTCTCCATGAAAATTTGTTTTTCACTTTCTTAAAGTAAGCTTTCAATTTCCATTAGTTTGATTAATCTGTCATATCTGCATTGTTCTTGTGGCACAACATTCATTTTTCTCTATCGATAATATTTACGAATTTGCAAGGGTCATTTTTATACGGTTTCTTAGCAGATTGGGTGGTGATCTAATGTAGAGAAGCTTAAGGGGACAAGGAAAGGTTTGAGAGTGCCCTTCATGTCATGGTATTTGTGACAGAAAATCTCGGAAGAAAGCCATAAAAGTAGAGAGAAATGCATCGCGTGAAAAACACGCATCTGTGCGTGCCGAAATGAGTAGCACTAAGGGCGATGTTGGGGAATATTTTATGTTCATCTGCGGTAATATTTATTACATATCAATAGACTTCTTCTACTTTATGCCGTTTGGAGATTCAGTTCCATTTCGAATTTTATGAATTCTGTGTACTTAACTTCATATTTCTCGTTCTTCAAATTCCACCTCTAAAAATAATGAAGTATAATTTCGCTCTCAATTTCAGTCGTGTTTGTGAAAACTTTACGAAACAATTGGTTTAGATCACGAAGAAATTCCGTTTTCCCTATATAGAGGAGCTCATGTTATATTGTGATTGCGGATGTCGTTTTAAGGTGTACGGGGCGTCGTTACGTCCGACCGGCTCGAGTTGATAATGCCAGGTAAGAAAGCCTCATAAATATTGGAATTCTGATGAAGGTCAGGTTTATCAATTTGTGTTTAGGTTTGATTATGTCGGGAAAGTATGGAAAGAAAAAGGAAACCATCGAAAAGTAGTTAGTTTTATATATTGATTTGTTCTTTATTTGTTTTCTTTTTTCGAATAAAATTAAATGCTGTTCAGATAAACTATCAAGACTATATGAGTGGTGGTATAC